CTTAAATTTCTCTAAATTATCAATAGAAATTGAATAACAGCTGATCTGTACATTTGTTAGAAATGCACCAATCAGAGCTCTGGAGATAATTTCTCTTTTTTTATTGCTGTTCAGTTTATTATTTAAAAATTAACTCTTAAAAAGTCTTGTTCCTGTTTGGTCTTAGGCATAGCGCATTTACTGACAGGAAAAGGATTGGAAATTTGACTTGCCAGTCAAGGATCAGGAAAAATGGATAAAGCCATGCAGACAGCAGCAGATTGCTTAGTGGGACTCTAATATTAGCAGTATAATTTAACCTTAGGAATTAAAGTAAACAGGACACATCCCAAAAAAAGGTTTTATTTTAATCCATTGATTCAAGTTTGCATAGGTCTCTTCATGTTTGTTGACTTTTGCAGTCAGAGTTGTTCTGTTTAAGCCCTGCTTCTGTTAAGACTTGCAGGATGACTCTGAACCAGTTTACCTCCTGAACTGTTTCATTCTTCCTTTTTCTTTTCATCAAGCTGCTGTTGTCGAATGAAGCGCAGACATCAGGAAGAAGCAGGAGAAAATTCACATGGTTTTAAAGTTTGTTTTCTCTTTATTTTACAGAAATACACACCTGTATGATGAAGATCCTCCGATGTGGCAGGAAGGCCACACAGAACCCGAGTGCGTGGGAGGCGATGGGATGACAGGAAGCGTTGAGCCTCCTGAATACGCAGAGCTTCCTCACTGTGGGGTCGACCCAGCAGAAGGAAGTGGGGAGGGAGGGGCGGAAAAGGAAGGATTGGGGGGGTATTCATGTGAAAGGAGGAGGGAGGACACTGTGACTGATGCACTTCTTCCCAAACAACAAGGTCAAACGCAGGAAGGTGAGCGGTTTTTTTTTCTCACACAGCCAGTGATGATAATGGAAATATTCAGGATTTAATTCATTCTAAGATGTTGGTCCTAATCTGCCTTGTTTTGAACATTTTTTTAATAATTGACAAGATATGAACAAATTTAGAGGATTTTCTGTTTTATCATTTTGTTTTGTGATGCACAGCTGCTTCACTTGGATGATATCTTGTGATTCATATTTTGAAGAGCTCCTATGCATAACACCCCCGTATATACATATTTATATTCCATTCCAAAAAAAGTAAAAAAGATAAATAAAAAAAAACACTGAACTTTGTTTTCCAAGTTATAAGATGTTTTTCTCTCTGAAAAACTCAAAAAGATTTTCTGCAAACACAAAATCCCAGTACATTTCAAACCAAACCAGAACCTAAGACAGAGGCTAGTGCATCCTAAAGACAAAACCCCCAGTTTTGCAGTTTGATGCAGTGAGGAATGCTCTGATCGTTAAACTGGAGAAACCAAACAACGTCTCCACAGACGCATGGCCCAACACAGGGGAGCTACATCCTCCGGACAAGACTCGCCTGTACATCTATAACTTATGGACAAAAGACATTCTTTTGAGGACCAGAATGTTCACATTTTGGACAAAGAAGACACGTGGTTTGAGAGGGGTGTGAATGAAGCCATCTACGTTAAGAGAGAAAAAACAACCTTAAACAGAGGGGGTGGACTCAGGTTTCAGCTTTCAAAAACCTACAACGCAGCGATAGAGTTGATCCCTTCCCACTATCATCTCAATCCTCATTGCAATGCAGGAGACCAAAATATTGACCCTAATGATTCTCCCTTTTCAGAGACATAGACCAGTATCTTTTATTGCAGGCTAACAAAGACCTCAACGGCTCCCCATTCTTAATTTGCATGTTTTCTAAGACCAAAACAAGGCTTTGTTGGAATACTCTATGAAGCTTGGAACTTAACGTTAATTCCGACATTTTGACTTGAAAAAGCTTTCTGGATGGAAAGGGAAACTTCAAACTTGGAAAACAAAGTCCAGTGGTTTGTTTTTTAACTTCTTTTGGAACGACTATGACCTGGATGACTGAGAATCTTCATCACAATATTTATATTCTATAAAAAAAGAAACATGCTGTGTCAAAATTTAAGTTTTGACAAACATTTTTAACCAATTTAACCATTTATTTCTCACTAATAGATGTTTTGTTACTATACTCTAAGAGGTGAATTTTTAATTTTTCTTCAGGCTTTTTTTCCATCTGTATCAGTCAGAAGATAACTGTTACTGAATAACAATAATGCACCTAAGGACAATTCATTATAGGAAAACACATTAATCCCATGAATACCTCATACGTTAATGAGGACACATGTGTCAGCTCTTCTTTTACAAACCAGTATGCAGCTTTGTGTGTCCATGATGACCAGCCAGTAAAAGAAACCGGAGACAGCTGCAGCTCTTTGATGCAGTCCACAGGATCCTGTTTTAAATCAGCTCCCTGCTGCCTCAGGACAGATATGTTACTAATGGCTGCATGTGTGCTCTCCTCTTCCTGCTCTCTACCCAGGGTGATGCAGACTTCTTTGCCTTGAACCACCCCAGACTCAGCAACAGCCACGGATTCCTACCTAGCCTCCCCGCACACACAGACACAGGAGCGGTCGCTCCGTCTCCTTGACCTGAGAGCCCCTCTGCGGTCCAAACAGAACCTGCGCATGAATCCCCAAAGGAGCGCTGCCTGTTTAGGGATAAAAACACTAAAAACACACTGAGAATGTGAACTCGATGGCCCACAGGGTTGGATCATATGAAGTTTAAAACGATGCGACTTTTAAAACGTGAAGCAGAATCAAATCTGGGAATGTCTTGCATCTGCACATGTAGGAGAACCTGACCTGTACCGCTGGTCTGTTAATGGATGTTATGAAGCTTTTGTGTGGAAAAGTTGGAGGAAATGTGTTATAAGTGGAAAAGTTGCACATGAAAGACAATCTTGATCGTTACGAGGAATGTCTGGGTGATAAATCCCCTGTAGATACTGTAAAATATTAAACAGGTCAATATTTTTGCTATGGACAGTAGACTTGATGACGGCACGTTTGCCTTTCTCTCCTCCATTATAGTGTTGTCGGTTGTGAAAGTTCACGTCTGTGTATCGATGTAAATAAACCACCTAAAACAAGATGACACACTTTATTAGCTTTCATTTCTTTCAAATGAAAAACATGTGAAAGAGCAGATTTTGACTGTGAATTTACTTCAATAAAAGCTTCATCTTTAAAACCTCATCTTACTTCTGAACATTCCTCTCTACACTGGAAAAGAATCGAAATCTAGAGAAGTAATTTTTTCTTAAAATAAGTGTTTTTGTTCTTGAATTGAGGAGGTAAAAGAGAGATCTTGCCAATGGAACAAGACAATTTACATTTAAAATAAGAAAATATTTCAAGTGCATATTATCTAATTATCTTATACCAAGAGTTAAAATACTCATTCCATTAGCAAACTATCTCATTTACCTACTTAAATTAAAGGTGAATATACTTATTTTAAGAAATTTTTGCTCATTTTCAGAACGTTTTTGCAGTGTAGGTGATCCAAGAACCGTTTTCATTTATTCATTGTTCTTTATGAAAGACTTTAAAAATCCTTTTTTTGAGTTTTAAAGTTTTTGCTTGTGGATTTTCTCCAGAGAAAGAGTGGACATCAGATGATTTTTATCCTCTAGTAACAGGGATCTCTCATAATTCATGTTTCTAGTTAGAAAGTTGAGAGTTTTTTTTTTTATCATTATCCTAATAAAACTCCCCACCTGATTATTTAATATTAAAGGGATGGTGGAGGATGTTCTTTTTCTGCGTGGATCATCTAAATAAGTGGTCTTCCTAATTGCTTCCTAATTAATCCCCATTTTCACTTACCAGTGGCGAGTCTGACATAGTGGAAAAATCGCAAAACTTCTTTTGGAAAGTAAGCCTGTATGAGCGATGCAAACAGCAACTTTTAAACATGAATTTTCTTTTTTTAAATAGAGAGGCCGGGTCTTTTAAAAAAAATTATGAAAATCCTCCATATACATTTATTTAAGGTAAAGAATTTTTGAGTTATTTTTATACACCTGTACCAAAATCATCAAAGCATGATGATGCCACCATGTTTGCAAGCATCACATTAATTCCCCTACATACACTTGATAATCAATGTGGAGAAATGGCTGTTTTATTCTCTAAACTGTAAATCTGTCCATTAGCTTATTGACAAAGGCAGCTACAAATGTCCCTTTTAAAACTAATAAAGCAGAATAACAGGAGCCCGAATCCTAATGAGAATATATGGCTTTAAATCAGGGTCTGTCACAAAAATTGAAATCTATTACAGTCTAGTTAACATTAATTTAAATATTAAAATAAAAACATTAACGTTAAAAAATAAAGCTATATGAACTAATTAACCCACAAGTCCAAAATCCTATGGAACTTCAGACTCGAACTGGAACTTTACGGCTGTATTTAAGTGTAGACCTAAAAAAAAAAATCAGCTTTGATTTGAGCTGGAGGTAGAGTTCAGTGGCAGCCGTGTTGTATCCTGTGAGGTAGGAGGCACCCAGTTTGCTCATTCTCTCTGATTCTTTCTGTGATCATGTCTAGCTTCTCCTCAGGCTCAGGTGTGATGCAGGCAAGCAGAGACAACGTTATGCTGTTAGCAGCTGCAGCTCAGCATGCAATTTACAGTCTAAAAAAGACACGAGCAGACGATCAAATCAACAGCCCTCAGTTTTCACTCTGTGCTCCTTCTATAAAAGTTGTTCCTGTAAAATAAAACCAATTATGTTCATTGGAGGCAGCTGTTAATGCAGTTAGACGTTTTACAGTTGTGAGGTTCATATAGCTTAAAACTGTGAGCCAAATTTCTGTTTGGCCCATCCGAAGCCCCTGACAGACAAAACAGATGGAGCGGCATTAATTCAAAGCCTAAACAATGAGCACATGACAGGAAGAGCGGAATAAGTATTCTTCCTCATGCTGATTTGAGCAGGAAAAAACAATGTTTGGCTATCCTGTGAGCAGATATTCAAAAAGGCTGGAGCTGTAAAGCTAAAGAAACAGAGAATAATAGAAGAAAAAAAAAAGCAGACAGAAACCCAACATTTTTACCATGACTTTCAGTTGTCAGGGACAAAATCTTTAATTCATATTGTGTCAAAAGAAGAATGGATGAGTTACATTAAAGTCAATATGACTCCAGGTGACGACGTGGCCAGAAAACACCTCTGTGTCTTCCCTCTCATCAGCTTTCAGAGTCCATGAGGAAGGCCTCAAAGTTTAGGTTGAGCTCAGACACCAGCGCGTCCACAAAGTCCTCCATGCTGGGCCGTCTCTGCAGCATGCCTGCCCAACACACAAAACACAACTGGATTTTAGGGTATGTTTTTTACCAAAACAGAAAATACTTCTATACAGTCATGTCAATTTTTTAAAAACTGCAAACTGTGGCATCCTATTCTATAAAACAGGGACACACTTAAATGAAATCTAGTATGATTAACTACATTCCAGGAAAGCATCCTTAAAGCATAATGCTGCCACCACCATGCATTTCCAGGAGATCTTTCATCATTTTGAATGCGTGTCTCCTCCAACAAAACTAATAGGAAACTTCTATAGGAACCTCTTCATTAATTCTTGGAGCTGCATTTCACTTAAGGGCATTAAAGTAGAGAAGTCTGAAAAAGTCTATGCCACCTTTATGGTTTTGTATCTGAAAAGATTTAATCCTTGGTAACTTCTTTGACTGTTTAAATAAGATAGTCCACCACGATAGAGGAACCTTTCTTCTGCCTGACTCCTTTGCAGGCGAGAGCGGGCTCTGGGAACGTCTGTGTGATTTCAGAGCCTGTCTGCCTGCTCATGCGTGGAGGACTCTCTCACACGCTTTACAATTCAGCTGCACACTGGCTTTGAAGTCTGTTCATTTCCCCTTGTGCAGCTGCCAATGTAAATACCCCCCCTCTCCCTCCCCCCTGCATGGGTCACCTCCACTGAGCGCATATATGCTAACGCACCAGCATATCTGCCCCGACACGCATGACTGGAAATGAACTGAACACAGACACACAGTGAGGGGAGTTTATGCTGCTGCCACCCTGAAATAGAAACACCAGGTACAAACTGCTCGTCCCGCATTCGAATATTAGTGGGGAGGAAAAAAGGAAAGGGTGGGGGTGGGCATCTTCTCCTCTTACTCACCCATCCCACCCTTCCCCCTGGCTACAAGATGATACGGCAGAATAGGGGTCTATGACACACGGCGACCGCAGGGTTCCAGGATCCCTGGGAATGAGGCCGCCACATGAAGGCAGTGATAACCCTAAATCACAGCTCTGACCGTGGCTGAGGACGGCAACTTTATGACCGCTTTAAACTGGAGAACAAAATGTTGAGAGCAACTGGATATTTTAAAGACTAAAGTTACACATAAAGTCAGACTGGTGGCAGATATAAAATACTTCAGATGCCTGTAACCTATCTACAGCCTGCTGCACGATACAAATGGCCTGAAACGCTTTATTTAAAGATGCTTTGTATCTTTAGGCTCTGTTTTTGGAATCTTGGTCCTTCTGGTTCTGTAGCTGGTTTCTGATAGTTTAGCCTACTCTGCTCTGATGCTAATCCTCATGTTTTCTCTGATGCTCATGCTGACGCAACCAAAGGGGATGAGGTAAATCTTTCAGCCTTTAAGCCTCGAATCAATCAGCACGTTTGAGGATGCAAGGAGGATTTCTATTTTTTTTTTTAACATACTTTTCTGTGTTTATATGGTAACAATATAAAACATCTTTGAACAAGAATTTTTTTTAATAAAAGCTTTCATTTAAACACAGTTTTATGACATTGCATACTTTAATAATTTACAACTTTAGGTAACAAAGTAAAAGTAGAAATAAAAAAGAGCACTTCTCAACCTTCTGTACAAACACAAAATGTATATACCACCTTAATTTAGACCTAACTTTATTTATCCTTTGGGATTACTCCTTCAGTGAAATTCTGGTTCCAGTAGCTTATATAGACCTAGACAGATTTTATTTGTCGTTTTGTTTACACAAGTGTAAAACAAAAAGAAATTTCATTTGGAACAGCTCTCTGGACAATTGAATCCTTTTTAAAAGTGCAGCCCTGAAAAAATTGTAAAAAATAAATAAATATATAAAAACAGTAATATAAACATATGACTGTAAATTTACAGTTCTGATGTTTTTTTTAAGTATATAGAGTACAAAGAGTTAAAGCAAGATTCCGTTAAAGATAAAAATACGACAATATAAAAACAGTGCACATGGTACCAAGAAAGCATAAAAAAGAAAAAAGTTGTAATGTCCTGGAATACGTTTCCCTTAGATATAAAAATATCTAGAGTAGAGAGCTAAGGGAAGACTACATAGTAGCTGACTTTGGTTATTGCACTTGCACTACAGACATGCACTGACCATATAAATAAGTCAAATAATTACACAGGCTACACAGTGGTTGGCTTGTGTTATTGTACAGTGAGAGAGAAGAATGTTGCACATGAGTGACAATAGGTAATGTTTTGCATAAGATGTCCAAGGAGGGGGTGCTAACATCATATGCAAAGATGCCACCAAATAAAATCCAGTTCAACCAGATGCCTTCCAAAGTAATCAACAAACAGAAAGGTAAATAATAGTATAAAAGCAGCTGTTCTGTAAATGCTTTTTTTTGCTTAAATGCAAATGTTTTTCACATGAGACCAAGCTCTTAAGGTAAGGCTGGAGCTCTTACCGAATTCTCAATGGTGAAACACAGTGGTGGCAGTATAGTGCTGTGGGAATCTGTCAAGCTTGACCCGTCTGCGAGGTCCACGTGGCCAAATTACATAATTTTTTTGGCTTCCACGCGGAGTCTGTGTGGACAGAATTTCCACGTTCTGCAACTGGGAACATTTGTAACTACGCAGACAGATCCGCGCATGAAAAAAATGGCGAGTTGGAAACAGCTCCTACTGCTGCCGGTTCACAAATGTAAACAGCTAGGGACATCCTATGAATTAGTCTAAAAGTATCACCACTATCAAACGATTATGAATAAAATCACGGAAAGAAACGACTGTTGCTCTTGAACAGCATTATGAGGCTTTGAAAAAGTTGTAAAAAGCTGCGTTTTCAACTTACCCGTGTAGTGTGGTGTTATCAGCTTGCAGTTTGTGCTTTTTTGATTAATATAGCTCTGGAAAACCACATGAGATGTTCTTGTTACTCTGCTGCAGCCGAACAGCCGAGTAATGGTGCAAAACCAGCACAAATTTTGCCACTTGTCTGCTTTTGCTCGCTTTGAAATTCGCCTAGCCAGTGAAAGCAAGACGCGTTTTGTGTTAAAGTCTGCTGTTACTGAACAACTTGCAGAGTTTTTAGTGTTTTGCTTTTGAAAGCTGAACAAAGCCGTTGGCGCAGACACCCCTTGATTCACCATATATCTCCCAAGTCAGAACCAGTATGGAGAACACCACCAACTGTCCCAGCAAGGACAAATCAGTGCAAGAGCATCAGCGTAAGAACAGGGCAAGGATAAAATTGATGTTTTCCTATAAATACTTTTAACATTCAATTCTGCTGTATTTGCAAATATCATATTAGTATTTTGAATGGATACAAATATCATCTAATTAAATATTGAGATATTTAACAGAATTTCGTTTTTTTCTTACATCCCTAATGCTAACCTTGCCTACAAGATAAATTCTGTATTTGTGCTTCTACACGCAGAGAAGATTACATCTTGTCCCGCTTGTGCTTCAGCTGTTTGAGACCAACCTAAAGCAGGTTAGCCAATCACCTAGGAGAATAACAGCTTAAGGCGGGACATGTGGCTGTGACACAGGCAAGAGCTGCTGAGTCCACAGCTGACCCAAAATAACAGGACAGAGCAGGACATAAACATAGATGCTAACAAATTTGTTTTGTCAAATTCCAATATTTATTTAAAAGAGGAGCTAAGAGTGTAAAAGTGTAATTCATTGGGGTTTCTCATGGCGTCTGCTGCCATATGAATTTTTTTCTTTGATTGGCTAACACCAAACTTGGTAAAGTTGGTAGCAGTCCGGAATCAGCCCGGAAAGTTCTGCTGAATGTCCAACTTTTTATGGAGAGATCAGATAACTCCCAGATTAATAATAAGTAGAGCTAAACCTGATTGCTACATTATCAATCTACTTTGCCAGGTTAACTTTTTGTAAGTCTGCCAAATTATATATCTGTCAAATACGTTGACGTTGACCACTAATGTGAAACGGTCAAAGGGTGTGAATACAAAGATACCATATCCCATTTAGCTATTAGTCATAAAACTTAGCCAACTGACCTCTCTTCAACAACTCAGTGGAGCTGGATAATTTTTTGATTACTACATTGTGAAAACTGAACGGTTTCCAGCTTAAATTGAATATGTTACTGTATTACTTAAGACTTAAATACCCAAACAACAGCAGAAATCTGGAGATTTACAGCTGGTCATCTATTCAGCTACTTCTGCTTTCCACCAGCAGCTGAAATCCAGATCCTCTAACCGTCTTTTAGCATGCTTGATAGTGTTTCAGTCAGAGTGGTTATACTAACTCTTGGCCTGACACCAGAGAAAAACCAGAGCCAAACTAAACATAATCTGTGCTTTGTGTCCATTGTTGCGAAAGGTTTAGAACGGAGGCTTTGCCATGTGCGTCATCTCGCATTAAAGAGTTTCCATTTCCTTTCATAATGGCTCTGATGCAGCCATTGATGAACAGGGCTTCTACCCATTACAGTCATCTAAGGGCCAGCATCCTACGCCAACTTGGACGACAGAGTCTGGGTAAAACAGCAGGTGTTAAAGGACACATGAGGAACCAGAGTTCCTTTGGAGACCATGCCAGTGGAGTTCTTTTCTTCAGTCCTTTAATAGCCCTTGCTGAATAAGAGCTAAAATAATGACTGCTTTCTCGCACAATGTATAAAATAGAGGAGCATTCAAATCACCGACTCACCCTTACTTTTACTTACAAATATTCTTTTTACTCTGTGAAAAAGTAGTTTTTATTGTAAAAAAAAATGTAAAAGAAACATCGCAAAATCAGCTAGGGCTAATCTAAACATTTTAAATGTTTCAATCTCATGGTTCTCAATCTGTGAAACAGGAATCAATGGTGGTATTACTGCTTTATCAGATAGCATTAGATGTCCTGGGATTAATTTGGCTGTGTGGTGAATGTGGACAAAACAAAAGTGATGTAGCCAAATAGGCATCAGCAGCCAATAGGATAAGCTGAAAAAGTGCAACACTTTCTAAATAATCATAAACTAATGAAGAAAGGGGTTCAGCAAAGACAGTTTAAAAAA